ATGCCGGCAGCCCACAGGAACACAGCAGGGCTCGGTCCCCTGCCAGCCCCCTGGGACCCCCTGCTCACACCTCTGCACACCAGGGCACACACCACCCACCACTGGCAGTGCCGCCCGGGGCACGCCAAGGGACCTGCCCCATGCTGAGCCCCACACCACCAGCAGCTCGCACGCAGCCAGACACAGCTACACCACGAGCAGCAACTCCGGACTTCGGCTTCCCACGCGTAAACAGAGCCTCCCCTTCCCGCTCGCCGCTTCCTTCAGGCCCGCGGGCAGATAACGCCGTCCGGCTGGGGAAAACAAGCTGAAACAAAAACCTTCCCACCACGGCACCAGTGATGCCAGCCAGCTGCCCACCTCCTGCAAAGGGGCCCCACAGCAGCCCACGGCCACCCCAGCAAGCTGCATGGCCACCACCTTCTCCTCCTCTCCCAGCTGCTCCCAGGACCCCTCCTCGCCCCCCACCCGGTTGATACGAAGCCGGCTAAATCAGGGACAGCTGAGATGGGGCCATGTTGGGTTTCCCCAGCTGCTGCAGCTCAGGGCCAGCAATGACCCGGTGCTGCCCACACACGTGGGCTCTCCGAGCATCCTCGGTGCTGGCTGTTGCAGGTGAGCTGCGGCACAAACACACAGAATCCCAGAATCCCAGAATCCCAGCATGGTGGGGGTTGGCAGGGACCTCTGTGGGTCACCCAGCCCAACCCCCTGCCCAAGCAGGGTCACCCAGAGCAGGCTGCACAGCACCGCGTCCAGGCGGGGCTGGAATATCTCCAGAGAAGGAGACTCCACAGCCTCCCTGGGCAGCCTGGGCCAGGGCTCCGTCACCCTCAGAGGGAAGAAGTTCTTCCTCGGGTTCAGCTGGAGCTTCCTCTGCTTCAGTTTGTGCCTGTTGCCCCTTGTCCTGTCACTGGGCACCACTGGAAAGAGTCTGGCCCCATCCTCCTGACACTCACCCTGCAGATATTTAGAGGCATTTCTAAGGTCCCCTCTCAGCCTTCTCTTCTCCAGGCTGAACAAGCCCAGCTCCCTCAGCCACTCCTCGTAGCAGAGATGCTCCAGTCCCCTCACCATCCTCGCAGCCCTGCGCTGGACTCTCTCCAGTAGCTCCTCATCTTTCTGGAACTGGGGAGCCCAGCACTGAACACAGCACTGCAGATGCCCAGCCCCTCTATGTCAACGCATGCCTTCACGAGGCGGAGAGCACGAGGGACGGCCGGTGCCGGGAGCGTGTCCGGAGCGGACGGAGCAGAAGCGTGGTCCATGCTGGACCACAAACGGGGACATTGCTTCACGAGCTGCTTTCCTGCAGACCTGCACCATCCGAGCAGGACTGGATTTTGCTCGTGGTGACAACGCTCAGCCTGTTCTTGCTGACTCCAAATGCACCGACATTTTCGACGGGGTCTCCTCTCCCTGTCAGCTGGAGCCTGGACCAAATCCTGTTGCTACGGTTTGGGGAGCAAACCACTATCTTCTTGAGCCTCAGCAGCAGTGCTCCTTCACCCACTCTCCGGGGATATTTATAGCACAAAACCTTCGCGGTGCTGGGGAGAGGCTGGTTCCCAGTGGCCAGGGCTCCAGAATTTGGGATCCCACCCCAGCTCTGCTGCAGCTCGGGGCAGGGGGACAGGCTTGGGGAGGACAGGGGAATAAAACGCAGCCACGCTCTGTCTTTCCAACCCACGCAGCCTTGCCGAATGATCTGCACGTCCCCCTGATTGCTACGTCAGCGCACGGGGAAGCAGCACTTCTGATGTGCAGGCAGGGGACCATATGGCCCAGCGTATGCAAACGCATCGTCACCCGAAGCAGAAAGCAGGGGGGCTTCTGGGGAACATAAAAAAAAAGGGAAAAAAAAAAAAAAAAAAAAAAAAAAAAAAAAATGGCAGCAAATCAAATCCTGAGTAGATCTGCAGTATCTAGGTTACCTTAATTATGTTCGGCTAAATATGGATGCCAATTAATTAGAGGGCTGCTGATTTCCAAAGGAAATTAGTTTACTCTTAATGAGCTAATCAGTCCCTATCTAAAAAAAAAAGAAATGAAATTATTAGATTGTACAAAGGCGTGTGGAGCCACTTGACACGGAGCACTGGGGTCTGCGCTCTGGGATTTACTGGGTGCGATAGTGCCAGGATTTCCGCACGGGGCTGACGATCCCTTCAGGACAGGTTGCAAGCGGCATCGCGCTCCCTCTGCTCTTACCCCACTGGGACCCGGCTAAGTTAGCCAGAAAAATTAAAAAAAAGGGTAATTTGCTGGCGCTATCGGGTTCTCAGCTCGGGATTTAGGACCACGAGCAAGCGGTGTGGGGACGGGCGTCCTCCCAGCTCTGCTCGGTGGCGTGGGGAGGGAGGCAGAGCTGGGGCCGGAGCGCTCCGAGGGCTCAGACAAAGCTCCTGGTTTTTCGAATATTAATAAGAGTCAAGCTGTGCCTTGCAATTAGAATGCTGATTATAATTTCTTCCATCTGTAGCGGGTTCCACTCCAGAAATTCAAGAGAAATTCAGAAGAGATGTGAACGTTACATGGGGAAAGTGTCTGGGAGGATGCCAGGGCGTGGGGAGACGGGGTGCGGAGGGGTGCTGGGCTCCTCCATCCCACCATGGCCGGCTCTGCCCGCTTCCCCTCCCGGCTGGCAATCCCGGCGGGTTTGGCTCTGCGACTTCGCCGTCGAGACATAGCCTCCTCCTCCCCGTGCATGGCCTACACGTTCACACACGGCGTGTCCAAGTCAAATCAGGCAGGTGCATCCCTAAGGGGAGCGAATGCAGCTCCTCCCATGTCAAAAACGCTCTGGAGAGCGAGCGACTGGGAGCCCCCATGTCCCCTCCGGCAGCCCAGCATCGGCGGGGCGAGGGCGGGATGCCCGGGATGGGATGCGGGTACCAGCTCGGAGCTGCCGGGTTTCTTTATTTCATGATGTTCAAGGTCACTGCTTCCTGGCTTTTCCTTCGAGACACGGCTCCGCGTCTGCCGTGGGGACGAGGGCTCAGCCAGGAGCCGCCGCCGGGCACCAAGTGAAGCGTCAGCTGAATTTATGGGAGTTTTTAAAATTGCATGAGCAGGAGATGCGCGGATTCACGCGGGTGCCCAGGCAAGGGGCTGGGGAAAGTCTGAGCTGGGGAAGCAAAAGCAGAGCGTGGTGGGGAGGAAGGACGCGCGCTGCGGACGGGATCGACAGCGCGGAGGTGTGCGCGCCGCGTCTCCCGTGCACCCGGCTCCTGGGCGTCGTGAGGGGCTACGGCTCGGTGATGGAGTCTTAGAAATAAATCTGGCGTGGGGTGGAACCTGCTGCAGCGCACAGAGCAACGGCCCCTGGGGTTCTGCAACAGGAAAGCTGGGTGCGCAGCTGCGCTCTCCCTCTCACGCTGTGCACGGCATCAAATCTGAGGGCTGAGGTTATGTTGAAGGTAAGGACCGCTACCTGCTCGGCAGGACGAGGGCTCTGCGGGGCCTCCCCTGCTCTCTGGGAGCTGTGTTGGTGGAGCGCTTGGTCACAAACCCGAGCGGCAGGGTGGAGACGTGCCCAGCGCCCGCCCTGCTGGCACATGCTCACTGAGAGATGCCAAAAAAGCTCTTAACAAACCTTTCATTTTCCTCCTAAAGAAAAAACCCGCTTCGCTCAGGCAGCTGTAAATCCTCCCTGCCCTGCACAAGAAAACTCCAGTGAAGGGCAGCGGAGGCTTCGACGCATCCCGGGGAAGGATGGCGAGTAATCGGGTGGTGACGGCGCAGAAGTGGTTGTCGTGGACGTTCTTGGTGATGGGGATGCCGTCGAAGCAGTGCTCCCGGCTCGCCACCTTCCCGTAGACGTTCCGAAACTTGGAGCTGCGGTACTGCGGGCGCCATGACATCTGCGGGGGCAAAGGCAGAGGGCTTAGCCTTCCCAAAATACCCTACTCGGGCTGTTTCCCAGTTGCTTTCCAGTTTCCAACCCCCGCTGCAAGAGGGATTTTGCCTGACGAGGCACGGCAGTATCGGAGCAGCCCAGATCAGCAAATGTAACACCCTGGAAAAAATAGAAGGTGTCTCCCCGGTGCAAGGTACAACTCCAAAAAGGCATTAAAAGGCTCTCTACTGCTGCAAAATTTAAGCTGATCTCCTTTCCAGCACGACCAGAAGATACAGCGCTACTACTTCGTGTGCATGTGACAAATGAATTCAGGCTTTTAACGTGATGACTTGGAAACAGATGGGTCTGGCCCGCGTGAAAGCGTGCACCGGGGCAGAACAAGAGCACTTAGGCAGGGAGAAGAGGAAGAACTTCTTCCCTCTGAGGGTGACGGAGCCCTGGCCCAGGCTGCCCAGGGAGGCTGTGGAGTCTCCTTCTCTGGAGATATTCCAGCCCCCCTGGCCGCGGTGCTGTGCCCCCTGCTCTGGGTGACCCTGCTTGGGCAGGGGGTTGGGCTGGGTGACCCACAGAGGGCCCTGCCAACCCCCACCATGCTGGGATTCTGTGATTCTGAGTGAGCACTGGAGAGCTCGTACACGTTGCGTTCAGCTGCCTCAGCGTATTTTGCACGGGTCTCCCCGCGTGGGCTAACCCCCAAGCGTCGCAGAGCACTTGCCGTTGCTCCCAACCGTGAGATGCTCCTGGAGATCCCACCAGCCGATCCCGGCAGAGCAGGGATCCCAAGGACCCCCCAGCTCACGCTGCTTCCCCAGAGCAAGTCCAAGCGCTGCAGAGGCGTGCACAGAAATGGGCGCGCTTTCCTTTCTCCTCACTACTTCCCTTTTTCTAAGTAAAAAACCCGCTGCTGTTTTCATTTCGGTCTTCTTTTGAACAACCCTTACAGTAGGACAAGTGTTCCTGACAAAATCTATAAAGATTTAAGGCACTCGGAGCGTGCCAGGGGAAGAGCATCAGCGTTCAAGCCACCTTAGAGCACCATAAGTACCCATGGTAATTGCATGCCGGAGGACTCGAGCCGCTCGCGTCTTCATGACCAGCATCTACTGACAAAAGCGGGTCAATGAGCACTTAAACCCTGGGTGATCTGCTGAGAGCACCTCTCAGCAAGGGGCAACACCGGAGAAACGCTCCGCTGGCTGCTCCAACCCTAAAGAAATCCGGGTCCCTGCTCCTCCCCAAACTCAACGCCACGGTTGGGAGCACGGCGCGTTGGAGCAGCGTCTCCCAAATAGGAGAGGGGAGTGCTTTAAGCCTGGAAACGCTAGCGTTTCCATCCCTAACTGGCAGGAGCAAGCTCATCGGCGTAACTCCCAGCTACGGGGCCAAAGGCAGAGCAAGGAGCAGCGGAGGGTACCAGCCCGCCCCGCGCGTTGCGGGGCTGATGGCCAGGGACGGGTCGCAGCGACCCGGCGCGAGCAGAGCCCCGCTGTGCCGATGTTCCCCGCAGCATCCGACACCCTGCCCTGCGCGAGGACCCCGCTGCGCTGCCTCAACCCCCCGCACCCCAAATCCCAGCTGCCTTGCCCATCCCACCGGCAGCACGCACGCCGGGAGCATCCTTCCGAGGAGACCGTGCTGTCGGCAATCCCCCGGCCGCAAGGGGAAAAAGGACACAGATCCTCGAGGATTTAACCCGAAACGAGAGCGGGGAGACGTTTTTGGCTGGGAAGGTTTCTGCTCCGGAAAAAAATGCAGACTCACGTCCAACAAAGCGCTGTGAGTCTTTGCCAAACCTACCCAAGCGGTCGGAGCCAGGCAGGGCAAGGAAAAACACCCCGACCGCAGCTTGAGGAGTGGCTTTCAAGAGCTTCACTAAATCGTACATTTTCCTTTGTCTGAACAGATGAGTTTTCATACTGAAACTAAACTTTTCATAATGTTATAAAAGCACAAAAATGCACTTTAATATTTTTTAAGCTCTCCATTCACTCCACGATCCCGGGACCTTGACTTTGCTCTCGTTTCTGCCTTCCCTGTCCCTCTGCTCCAGAACTATTGCAAAAAAAAGCCCCAGACTCTACTGAAAGGGCCACTCGCTCAATCCTTCCCCCACTCAACTTCTCAGATGCCTCGTAGCATCTCGCCACGCAGGACAAATCCCGCAGACCCCGCTGCGGACACCCCTCCTGCCGCGCCGGGGTAGCAGAAAAGGGGCTCCCCTTATTTTCTGCATTCAGAATTTCAGCTTAGCGACCCCCTGCCAAGCAAAGCACCGGCACAAACGAGCTCCAAGCAGCCCGCAGATGCGTTTTTACCCTTCTTCACATGCGTGCCATGGAGGCTCGCACCTCCCTTTTTTTCCCAGCCCTCCCTGTTCTGTTCTTTCACCAAAAACCAGGC